GAAACAAAACGCATAATCGCTATGACAAGGAAAAACTTAAAAGCAAAAAAGAAATACAAATTTAAAAATTTTTGTGAATCTTTAAATAGAGGATCCAACGTCACTTACGTTTGGAACAAAATTAAAAAATTTTCCAATTATCACAATAATAAAGTTTTTCATTGTCCCCCAGATAACATTAAACTAGAAATATTAGACAAAATGTCTTCAGTAAACATAGACCCTAATTTTAATATGTCATATGATAACCAAGAAGTTGCTCCCTTTTCAATTCATGAATACAATTTGGCTTTAAATAATAAAAAAGATTCTGCGCCAGGTATCGATGACATATCCTATTTAATGCTAAAAAACCTCCCACTTGCAGCCAAGGACACCCTGTTAAGAATTTACAACAATTGTTTGAATGGGGGTCCTATTCCTTTGGAATGGAAAAAATATAACATAATTAATATCTTAAAGCCTCAAAAAAATCCTATTTTGTCTGAAAGTTTTAGACCAATAGTCTTATCGTCCTGTGTACTTAAAACTCTCGAAATCATAATAAAAAATCGTTTGGATTGGTTTATGGAACACAATTCAATTTTTAAAATTAATCAATCAGGTTTCAGGAAAGGCAGAGGGACATATTATGATAATTAAGCTCTTTTACACTCTACGATTTTAGAAGCCTTTGCATCTTCTCAAACGGTATTAGCCATTTTTCTAGATATTAAATCAGCCTATGACAATGTAGAAATATACAACCTTTATAATAAACTCAAAAATCTAAACATTCCCATGGCTATAAACAACAATATCCTCAAAATCCTACAAAACAGACTCTTATATTCGAGATCTGATGACGGCAATTTCTTGGGTCCATATCAAACCTCCAAGGGGCTCCCTCAAGGTTCTCCCTTAAGCACCATCCATTTTAACATATATATTCATGACCTTTTCTACTTATTCTCTAACGAAGTGAAAATATGTGGGTATGCAGACGATCTAGTTTTGTACATTAGCGGTCAAGACATTCATAACATGATAAATAAGATCATCACAGAAATTAAAAACATTCAACAATGGCTAGAAGCCCACGGGCTGTCTATTTCAATTGATAAATGTGAAGCTGTGTGGTTCACAAAAGGACAACGCAAAACAAACCTTTCATTAATCTCTCTTAATAACAACAATAGCATTCCCTTTAAAAATCAGGTTAATTTTTGGGCATCACCTTTCATAAAAACTTGAAATGGAACCCTAACATTGATAAAATTGTACTTAAAGCAAAGAAAAACATCAACATATTGAAAGCACTATGTGGAGTTTGGTGGGGTGCAGACCCTAAAACCCTAATTATAATCTTTAATGCTTTAGTTAGGTCTCATATGGATTACGGTTCCTTTCTTTTTAGCCCAATAACACAGAAATGCAGCAATAGCCTAAATAAAGTATTTTTTGAAGGGCTCAGAATCTGTTTGGGGTGCATGAAGTCCACTCCACACATGGCAATCTTAGCTGCATCTGCTCAGATTGACCTGGAACATAGAAGCCTAATACTAGCCGCTAAACTCATATCTAAAATTATTAAAATCGATAATCACCCAGTAATAGTGACACTTCTTAAGATACGTAGAAAAATCATAAATAAACCAATTTTTCACAAGACAAACCTCGTACCTCTCCTTTTCATGGCTCTTGAACATTTTCTCCCTTATCAAAATAAAATACAAAAAGACCCAAACTTCCCTTGTTATGAATTAGATTTTAACACACTAACCAACCCAATTCAGACTCTAAACTGTAATATTAAGAAAAATGAATCATCAACCAAACAAAAATTCTCAATAATCACCCAAAAATACAAGAGTGATTACTCCTTTGTATATACTGACGCCTCAAAAAACAAGGGGAGAATAGGATTTGGAATCAATATTCCCAACATTAACTTCAAGTTTTCTTCTAGACTTCCTGGTGAGTTATCTGTAACAAAAGCTGAAAATGTGGCAATTTACCAAGCAATTCAAATTTTAATATCTAAAGGCATCAAGAAGGCTGTTGTCTTCTCTGACTCTCTAAATGCTATAACTAAAATTAAAAATCCTATAATCTCAGCTTCTGATGACTCAATTTTCCTCAAAACAAAAAAACTTATCTCATCAGCAATTAAGAAGGGTTTTGACATTTTAATCTCATGGATTCCAGGTCATTCTGATATTCCTGGGAATATAGAAGCTGATTTACTAGCCAAAATAGGAACAAACTTGAATATTCCATTAGGTATGTTGTTAGATTCCCGAGATATTCTAAACACCATAAAGGCAAAAATTATTGACAAATTTAAAATCAATTGGGGAGCAATACTGCAGAAGAAAAACTACCAATATAAGAGAATCCAAACCTCTTTCTCCTTTAAGGCATGGTTCTCAACTCTAACATTTAAAAACAGAAGACACATCACCACAATAATAAGAATAAGAACAGGTCATTGCTTAACAAAACAACATCTTTTTAAAATCAAAATAATAGACAGTCCCGCATGTGAATGCGGAATAGTGGAGGATTTAAACCACATTTTCTTTGAGTGTCCCATTAATGTTATTCCTAACATAGATTTATATTCAATTTTTATTTCAATGAAATTCCAAACACCAATCTCAATAGATACAATCCTAATATCTCCTAATGAAAAGTCAGTCAGTGGAATCTTACCGTTTCTTGACTATAATAAAATTAATTTGTAATTTACGATGCTCAACTTGAATTCAATGTTTTTGCCTTTCAGTTTTTCCTTTGTGGCGTCCTGTTTATTGTGTAATATGTAACCCTTCCATTACCATTTGTTTACAATATGTGTTTATAACTACTTAACCTCAAATTTAAAAATTCAGACATTGTTGTCTATACTGTGCTACTACCACCTTATGCAAGGTCAGCGGCCCTGATATGGTTTAGAACCAGATTACATCACGGTCGCCATCAAATAGTGCTGGCGAATCGCCTCGAAGCGAAGCGAAGCCATAAAAAAAACAGAAGAAGAAGTTTACTTGTTATTTTCAAGGTCATAGCTCTTGTCAAAATCCATTACTTCTAGTTAATTTCTTTCGTATTGATATCAAGTCTAAGCTATCTGCAAAAACTATTGCGCCGTCGGCGTATGTAATGTTGTTTAAACGCAATCCGGTGACTAATACGCCTTCCTGTAATTCTCCTAGTGCTTGCTCGAAAATATGTTCAGAGTACATGTTAAATAGTACCGAGGATAGAATGCACCTTTGTCTCACTCCTCTATCTATTGCGATTGCCTCTGTCAACTGATTATCCACTTTAATGCTAACAGTTTGGTTGTAATGTAAATTATATATGATTTTAGTAATGTAATGTAAGTTAAATCCTTTTTGGGAAGACTTTTTAAGATATTGAATGATTTATTGTAAAATGCTTTACTTATGTTCTCTGCTTTGTCAGCTATAGGAACATATACCTTTAATATTGTTCGTTGTAATTAGTTAGGTTTAGGTTAAAGTTAAAAAAGGAGGATGCTTTCCGATATGGGTAGAAAGTTTTTAATGTCTGGCAGTACCTTTATTTAAGATTTACCTGCTGCATTTTCGTGGCTTTCGTTGGGATTACCTGAATAACATATGATGATCACTAATTTCACATTGCCCAGAATTCGGTTATTTTATTGCAATATGTCTATTGATAGTCTATTCATCTCCTTAATTGCATTATAAGTCTTACCTGCCTCGTATAATGTCTTAACATTCCATATTCAGCTCATAAGAATATTGAGTGACTTGAATCGGCCTCTACAGGATTCTCCCGCCTTTAGTCTTAAGATCACCCGGACTGCTTTTTTTTTGACTATAAAGACAGTTGAGCTATCTACTGCAGCACCCCAGAAGATTACTCCATACCGCATAACAAAATAAAAGTTTGCATAATATACTGATAGTAAAATCCCCTGATCTAGATAGCTCTTTAACACTCTTAATGAGTAGCAGGCTCTATTCAGTTTTTTTGTCGTATTTTGTATTTGTTCCCCCCAATTCAGATTCTGGTCAATATAAATACCAAGAAATTTAACTGATCTAGCAGGTTCCGTGTTTTCTGATAGAAAATTAATTGTATATGGAAACTGCTCTCGTGACTGGCTGGTTCTAAAGTAGACAAAAACTGTCTTATCAGTATTAAGCAACAACCGATTTCCACTAAACCACTGTTCAGTCTTGCTTAAAAGTTGCTCTGCCACTGTGAGGAGTATTTCTAAAGTTTTTTCCCAGAAAAGCACATTTGAGTCATCAGCGAAATTTACAAGGTTTGAGGAACTACTAACCACCGCATTTTGAAGGTCGTTTATGTAGACCTAAAAGAGAAAAAGCCCCAGAACACTCCCCTGTGGTATACCTAATTTTAAATTGATCGTTTCAGAGTAAACCTTACATCCCCTTTTCTCTAGGCATACCTTTTGCGACCTATCTGTGAGAAATGATTTTATCCATTTTAATGCTGGTCCCTGTATTCCATAAAGATGTAATTTTTGTAATAAAAGAACATGATCTAGGCTACCAAAATAAAGAGGTACATGTCATACAACTACTTACAGGGTGGAATGAGAATATGGCGGAATAGAAGAAAACGTACCCTTATCATGTATTACATACGAGTCTATCTTACCTCTAAGGCGCACCAATTATTGGTCTACATTCAAAATTAGGTTTTTTTAAATTAAAAAAACTAATTCGTGTCTTGGACTTTTTCAGTTATTAATATCTAATACTAAAAGATAATATGTGCAATTTAAAAAAAATTGTACTGCTAATATTTTTATACATTCATAAGATAATAAATGTTTATGTATTCTACTAAATTAAGAGGAATCCAAATCTTACATTCTACTTAAAAACAAAACGACACAACACTGACTAAAAGTTGATCTAGTTTACACCGGAGAATTCACTCGTCAAAACATTTCGTACAATTGACTAATCCATCTCTGACTTTTTGATGCTTACCTTGACTTGGGGACTGACTAGATACAAAAGCGGATTGGCACGAAGTCTTTCGTATTCGTCTTGTTGTCTTCGAATTTCTTCTCGACGGGCTGAACCCAAGTACGAGACTTCTTCCCTGGACATGGCACCTGTCGCCCTGGGCAGATCTTGGAAATCGGGCAGTGATTTCTTCCTCTGCAACGAAGTTTGAGGGACTATGTTCTGTAAAATAAGATTTTGGGATGTAATGAAGATGGTTGATGGAATGACATTTATGACATTTATTTAAATTATTAACTTCCAAATTTAAAAACGATTTCCAACCTGAGAATTTAAACATCAAATAAAGTATGTAGTTTGTTTGGTTTTATATGATGCTGAGAATTCCATGAATACAAAAAGTTACCAACGGTGAGGTACTTCGGCGCATAAGTAAACAAAAAGAATTACTCAGCATAATTAAAGAGAGAAAATTACAATAGTTGGGTCATGTGTTAAAAGGTGAAAAATATGAATTAATCTAAATAATATTGGAAGGTAAAGTTCAGGGCAAAAGAAAAGTTGAAAGGCGCCAGAACTCGTATCTGAAAGACCCGAGGAGATGCTTTGATCGCTCATCCACAGAAATCTTTTATGCTGCAGAGGCTTCCAAAGCTTCAATTGCCAATAAAAAGAAGAAGACAATAATCAAGTTGTAATTATACGTATATATATAGTATATACAGTATATATATATAGTATATACAGTATATATATATATATATATATATATATATATATATATATATACAGTGCAGGTAAAAGTTTATGGTCGGTATGAACCTTACGTAAGATGGAGTGAGAAACACTTGTTTAAAAAGAGAGAGATATAAGTTCAACGTTGCCAAACTTATTGGTTTTATTTGACCTGTTGTCCTATAAGCACGATAATCAAATTTGGATAAATTGATTTAAATGGCAGCCTATTGTTTTTTATTGGTAATATGCCACAATTTTTTTTACAATAAGTTTAATTTAATATTTTGATTACCACTTCGGAAATTGTTTTATATAAATGAAATTTCGTATTTTAAGTACGATTTCCGAATTGGAAATCTAAATATCAAAATAAGCTTAATTTAAAGTTACATTTTATTGTGCCTTATGCCCAATAAAAATAATAAACAGTATTATCACGTCACAATAAAAAGCTTCATAAAAAATGACACTATGATTTTAATAGTGCAGAACAGAACAGATTGTCGATCGGATAGCCAAGTGCCCACTTGGCTGGCTTCTCCTTCGCTTTAATGCGAGAGATGTCAGTTCAAATCCCCAGCTCGGTATACAGAAAAACAAAAAGGCTAAGGCAGCAGTTTAAAATTCTAAATGAATCTGCGGCTTAGTCTAGAATGCTTGCGGCTCGGTGATACTCCTCCATAGAGCCCTACTGAAAGGGTGTGTTCCGCCTAAATACCGGGTATATATATATATATATATATATATATATATATATATATATATATATATATATATATATATATATATATATATATATATATATAGATATATATATATATATATATATATATATATATATATATATATATATATATATATATATATATATAGAACAGAACAGAACTAGTTTGGTATGCTGTGGATATTGCATATGTTAGTGGGTTGGTCTTTCATAAAGCATAATAAATAAAGACAGTACTAGTACAGCATTGGAAAGGAGTAGGTGTATTATATTAAATTTAAAGTGGACGAAATATTACGCCTTTTAATTTAATATAAAAATAAATCGCAAAATGTATTGGTAAGCGCATAATTCAACGACGAATGGACCAATATTAACAATCCTTTTTTTAACTTGTTTCTGAAGTCTAAGAATGGTTTTTACGACATGGAAAATTCAAATAATTTCCAGGAAAACAATGAAACAGCCCTTTCCTTTTTCCCATATAAATATTTTTTAACTAAATCTAGAGTCAATTAGAACTTTATTGCTATTCAATAAAGTTTATATTAAATTACAAGCACTCACTTTTGTCTAAACAATGTAGGTGTGTTTCTAACGTCGAAGATTCAATTTGCGCTTAATTGTCGCTGTACAAAGTTAAAATTCAATCAAATGTATGTGCGTGCGCGTTCGTGTGTGTACGTGTTCGCGTTGGATGATCAAATGCGTTCACACAAAAGTGATAATATCGTGAACCCGACCAAATTGAAAGTCAAAAAATATAAAAGCTATAGATTTGATTGGCCTCGCAATATTCTTTCTTTTGTTTTAGTCTCGGAAGACGACATAAATAGAATCAGTTTTCACGTCGTTGCATCTGTCAAACAAACCGATGTTTATTTCCATAAGGTGTTTCTAGATGTTGCTCAAAATTACAGTATTACAGAAACCATGATTGGTTGAGCGAACAGGCTATATTAACTTCAAAAATCATAGATGCAAATTAATTAAATTTCAAAATCTTCAAAATCAAAATCTCATAATATTCAATTAAAGGTTGGATCGGTAGTAATAATGTTAAGAAAAATCAACCAACCGCGTCTTTGCAGCGGCACACGGTTAGCGTTAAAAAAATTATTGGACAACATGATAGAAGCAACTATACTGAAAGGAAAGTATAAAGGAGAAGACGTTTTGATACCACGCATCCCAATGTTTCCGACTGATACACAATTTGAATTTAAGCGACTACAGTTTCCAGTGCGGCTTGCTTTTAATATAACCATAAATAAGTCCCAGGGACAATCATTAAGTTTTTGTTGTATTAATCTAGAAAACCCATGTTTCTCACATGGTCAATTGTATGTTGCCTGTTCCCGTGTTGGAAATACATCAGATTTGTTTGATCAGGTAATCAAACAAAAAAAACATTGTATATCTTAACGTACTACAATAAAAATAAAACAGATTTTTGTTAATGATTATAATTATCAATTATGTTATGAATAAACAATTAATTATCTCTATATTTTGTCATTGAAGCACCCACTTTATAAAAATATTTGTCACCTTTAGGTTTTCACTATCCCTTTAAATTATTTTTCAATCAGGTTTGAACCTTAAGTTACCCTCTTAGTTTAAAACCCTCTGTCAGACATCTCAGTCTGGGTTTTTAGTGGGTCCAAAAGGCTACTAAAGTTCGTCGAGGTGAAGATACTTAGGTCACCCGAGCTGACCCTCAAACACCGCCCTATCATCATGGTGGCGGTTCTGTTCAGGAGAATTAAAGAAATAAACTGCCATATTCCAAATCTATTTTACAGAACAAAGTCTGTCGGGTCCGCTAGTTAAAAATAAAATATTTGGTATTTTCCAAATAATATCTTTGAAACCATATTATCGTTTAGATTTTTTGGAGGTAATAGGTGTAGAAATATTTTTTTTTATAAATATAAAACAAAAAAAGATAAAATTAACATAAAAGTATAACATTTGTTCTATAAAAATAAAATCAAATAAAAAAATAATAAAATAAACACTACTGTTAAAATTAAAAATAATTCCAAACAATTAAAAATTCTAAACCAAATTCTTAAGTATTTAAATAATTAAACAGACCACCAAATTGTAACGAACAGTTACCAAATCTATTATATAACGCATTTCTTATGGCGTTGAGTTCATCTGCCGATATGTTTCGGCTAAGTTAAATTATATTTTCGTTCAGTCCCTCCAAGTTGGTGGATCGCTCGAACTCATGCCTGTACAATTTCGTTCTGAGCATCTCCCAAAATAAAAATCTAGAGGAGCTAATTCAGGTGACCGAGGAGGCCTTTAGTACATTATGTACTAATGACACGTTCAGCATAAATTAACGCTAAATAGTCTCTAACGGCTTTTGCATTATGTGCAGGACAGTCGTCTTGTTGAAACCAAATTTAGTTAAGTTAATTTAAAGATGTTGCAGTGCAGGAATAATTTGATTTTGCAGTAATTGGAGATATTTGACTGCGTTTAAATTGCCGTCAATGAAAAAAGGACCAATCATATGGTCTCCTAAAATACTAGTCCAAACATTTTGAACTAAATGTTTATTCTCCTGAGACCAATAACCTTTAATGGATGTATTACTGTTTTATTGTTCTTGTTCTATGTTCTTGTGAATTGTGAAGGAGAACTCATCCTAAAGTCCTAAAGACCTATTAAAAAAACGAAGTACGGAGATTCAGGTACAACCATGAGCAATAAACTCTACCAACTGTTCAAAGAAGCACCTTTCTTAGAATTCGGTAAACTTTAAAGACTTTGATTCACTGGCCATGTAGTTAGATTAAAGACCGAAAGTTTGTTAAAACGAGCCCTAGATAGTAAAATATAGGAAGCAAGTCTAAAAGGAACATCACGAAAAAGGTGAGAGGATTAAGTGACAACAAACGCGCAAAATTTGCTAGACGTGAGAACCTAAAGAAGATTTGCGAGTGACCGGCAAAGTTGGAGGCATAGTTTGGAGGAGGCCAATGCTCGATTTGGACTGTAGTTTCATAATAAAGTTTTTTATAATTTCTTATTATCTCTCTCTTTAAAAATAGGTAATAATTTAGATTTTTTCCTAGTGTGAATTATAAATTTTAAAAGTCACTTGGGAGTTTTATATATCTCAAATGCCGAATACTCGTAACTAAAATAAATTCCCGTTTTACCAAAGTTAAAATTTTTTGTTGGAAAATTTTTATCCCAGTTTACTGAACTTTCATTTCTACTTTTGACTATTTTTATCAGCTTGTAATCAATTGTCAATTTTATCCAATTTTATAAGTCATTTACTCTTATTTATATTTAAAAACATCTAAAAAATTTATGATGACAAATTTATACCCCAATTTACAAATAAAAAATAACCACAGTGCTGTTGTCTCTTGCTAATACCAAGCTTTTGCAATAGTTTATTTTTAGATATATCGCTATTTATCTATTATGCGATACTGAAAAAAATTTGGACCCATTCCATAAATCTGTGGTCTTTACTTATCTGTGTATTAAGTTATTAATAAATAGCGGTTACTGGCATCTTCATTTGAACAATTTAAAATTTTTAATATCATTTCTTATTTATAAAAAAGAGATAAAGCCAATTTATTTTGTAATTACAAAAGCTATTCTACATCAGATATCAACGCAAGCATCCAAAAAGAGGGAGGGTCCCTGTAAGGAGAAATGTAAATAAAAAATGGTTAAAATTAATTATAAATACCTAAGTAAAATTTATTTAATTACATAT